TACCTTGGTTGCGGGCACATCCCCAGTAGGGGGTGTGCAAGAGGCAGCTGATCGATAACACTCTCTCATCGATGTTTCTAACTATCTCTCTTCCTTCCTCTCTGTACAAAATCAATAGACAGAACAGACAAGACCAAAATAATCTCAGACACATACATTCAAGTATCCTTTCACAAAAACCACAAGACACACAAGAAAGAAAAGATGGTTTTTTCACTGAATGGCGCTGGTAAAAATGCTTATTCATGGGTAAAACAATAAAACTGGACACCACTGACCAAAAAAACACAAACTGAATGAAATAATTAAATGACAATCCCAAAACTTAATACTACTGTAAGACAAGCTAGAGAAAAAGCTTTGGACATTAGATTTGGACATGATTTTCTGGATATGACACTAACCACAGGCAAAAAAGAAAAACTAAGGTCTGGACAACAACAAATGAAAAAACGTCTTCAGCCGAAACCGGTTTGGCTCAGTGGTAGAGCGTCGGTCTGTGGACTGAAAGGTCCCGGGTTCGATTCTGGTCAAGGGCATGTACCTTGGTTGCGGGCACATCCTCAGTAGGTGGTGTGCAAGAGGCAGCTGGTCGATGTTTCTCTCTCATCGACGTTTCTAGCTCTCTATCTTTCTCCTTTCCTCTCTGTAAAAAATCAATAAAAATATATTTTTAAAAAAATTTAAAAAAAGAAAAAACATCTTCACATCACAAAAGCAATTAACAAAATGAAATTAAAAGGCAATCTAGCCGAGACCGGTTTGGCTCAGTGGATAGGGTGTCGGCCTGCGGACTGAAAGGTCCCAGGTTCAATTCGGTCAAGGGCATGTACCTTGGTTGTGGGCACATCCCCAGTAGGGGGTGTGCAAGAGGCAGCTGGTAGATGAATCTCTCTCATCGATGTTTCTAACTATCTCTCTCCCTTCCTCTCTGTAAAAAAATCAATAAAATATATTTAAAAAAAAAAAAAAGGCAATCTACAGGATGGAAGAAAATACTTGCAAGTCATATGAGCGTACTGCTTGGAGATATTGTGGATTCAGTTGAGAGAACTACAGTAAAGCGATTATCCAAATACAGAGTCACAGAAATATTTGGAGCTCCTATCTATACTAATAAAAGTGCAATATGCTAACTAGACCAGGTCAATTAGACATCTTCTGGATGTCCAACTTCCTCTGGACAAAGCCACGGTGGCCAGGGATGAGGCAGAGGTGGTTAGGGGGTGATTAGGCTGAAAGGGGAGCAGTTAGGGTGTTGATGAGGCTGGTGGGGGGAGGGAAGGGCAGTTAAGGAGTGACCAGGACCAGGGGAGCAGTTAGGGGGCAATCGAGCTGGCAAGCAGAGACAGTTAGGGGCAATAAGGCAGGCAGGTAGAGTGGTTAGGGGCAATCAATCAGGCCGGCAGGATAACAGTTAGGGGGTGGCCAGGGTGTCAGATGCAGGGGGGCAGTTAGGAGGTGGCCAGGTAGGCAAACTGAAGAACTTAGGGGCGATTAGGCAGGTAGGTAGAGTAGTTAGGGCAATCAGGCAGGCTGGCAGGGGAGCAGTTAGGGGGTGACCAGGCAGCAGAGGAAGGGGGACAGAAGGGGGCGACCAGGTCAGCAGGGGGGACAGTTAGGGACAACAACACTGGCAGGGGACCATTTAGGGGGAGATCAGGCAGGCAAGCAGAGGGAGTTAGGGATGATCAGGCAGGCTGGCAAGGAACCAATTACGGGGGGAGGGGTCAGGCCGGCAAGCAGACGCACTTAGTGGCAATCAAGCAGGCAGGTAGAGTGGTTAAGGGAGATCAGGCAGGCTGGCAGGGGTTTAGTCAGGAGGTGTCCAGGTCGGCAGGGGGGCCAGCGAGAGGGTAACCAGGCCAGCAGGAGGGCAGTCATGGGAGTGACCATGATGGCAGGGAGGCAATCAGGGGACAACCAGGCCAGCAGGAGGCAGTTAGGGGCAATCAAGCAGGCAAGTAGAGTAGTTAAAGGTCATGAGGCAGGCTGGCAGGGGAGCAGTTAGGGTGCAATCAGGCCAGCATGGGGCAGTTAGAGGTTGACTAGGTTGACATGGGGCAATTAAGGGGCAGCCAGGCTGGCAGAGTGGCAGTTATGGGAAGACCAGGCTGGTAAGGGGACTGTTAAGGTGCAACCAGGCTGGCAGGGGGGTAGTTAGGGGGAGACCAGACCGACAGGGGGTGGTGGTTAGGGGATGAGCAGGCTGGCAGGGGACCAGTTAGGGGTTGATCAGGCCAGCAAGCAGATGCAGTTAAGGGCAATCAGTCAGGCATGTAGAGTGGTTAGGGCCAATCAGGCAGGTCAATAGGAGGGCAGTAAGGCAATGAGGCTGTTAGGGGGTAATCCGACCGCAGAGAACTAAAGTGACCACAAAGGATAGTTTAAAATTGAACTTTCTAACAAAAAACAGTCATTAACAGGTAGATATGTCCTCAGCTAGAATATTCATGGACAAAAGTCAATCTTTACCTTAACGGAGCCTGTCTATTGTCTTTTGCATCTATGATAACTTGCCTTTTTTGGGATATCTCAGTGAACAACAAATGCATCATAGCAGAGACTATAAATACTCACACTTCTATATTCATCATATTAATATTATTAGCTATCCTGTACCAGCTATGTAAAAGAGTTATCATTTTACTTTTTATCCAATTGCAGAAGTAGCCCCACTTTGCTCTCTTCTGCTTCCTTAATCTGTCACCAATGAATTTCATGTAACCCACCTGTGTCTGCTATCTTGATTGTAATGTATCAAATAAGGAACAAAATTGCCATTCTCTGGAGCATTATATCAATGCCTTGAGATTTTCCTTCCTGGCAACTGTTGAAAGTTTGGACCACATGAACTCACAAAAATTATTTCCAGCCGAAACCGGTTTGGCTCAATGGATAGAGCGTCGGCTTGGGGACTGAAGGGTCTTGGGTTTGATTCATGTCAAGGGCATGTACCTTGGTTGCGGGCACATCCCCAGTAGGGGGTGTGCAAGAGGCAGCTGATCGATGACTCTCATCGATGTTTCTAACTCTCTATTTCTCTCCCTTCCTCTCTGTACAAAATCAATAAAATATATATTTTTTAAATTATTTCCAGGTTTGAATATCTCTTGTGTTAACACTAACAGCATCTGGGCCAGCCAGAAAGATGGCCACACCAAATCTCCTGCATGCAGGATTGCCAAAAACATTGAATTTGTAAAAACAAAAACCCTGCACAGCCTGGCTGTGGTGGCTCAAAGAACTGAGTGTCGTCCTATGATCCAAGAGGTCCCAGGTTCCATTCCCAGTCAGGTCACATGCCTGCGTTGATGGCTCCATCCCCAGTAGGGGGCATGCAGGAGGCAGCCAATCAATTTTTTCTCATTATTGATGTTTCTATCTATCTCTCCCTCTCCCATCTTCTCTGAAATCAATAAAAATATATTCAAAAGAGAACAAAACAAAAAACTCTAAAAATATCTGCAAAGCAAAACTAAGCACATGCAAAAGGACAAGTCAGTATCTGTATGTAATAAATAATATATCAAATATAGAAGGTATTCAACGGAAACATTAGCCAAAAAAATATGGTTAAAAAACAGTCTAAGGATATAGGGGCAATTTTCCCCAAACTATGTACCAATGACCAACAGGAATATAAAGAATGCTTTTCCTCACTGATCAGGGAGGAATCCAATAGGCTCCCTGCCACAATAACAACCACAAATCCCTCCCTAGGAGTTCAGTACAGGAGGTGTTGTGATTGCAGAAAAAGAAAACGGCAGAGCAAACAAACCAGTCCTCCCAAGAACAGCAAGGGCCCAAAAAACTGAAAGCCAAGCAGTGAGGACAGAGCACATCCCGTTAAAGGGCATGAGGATGTGTAATGTCAATGGGTCTCTGGTGACAGTGAGGGTCTTACCCAGCGAGGACACAAGTTCAAAGTTCTCCAGCATCACATTCAGGTATAGCTGTCTCTGACCCTCATCAAGGAGGCTCCATTCCTCCCCAGAGAAGTACAGGGCAATGTCCTCCAAGGTCACGCCAACCTGTCAAAATGGAGACAATATATTGTTCCGATTTTTTTTTTTTTTTTTTTTTTTAACTTTTAGTTACAATTCCAATTTGGTCCTGGGAGTGTGTCTGTGTGGCATCCATTTACTCCACAGCCATTTTTAACCTCCCAGAATTGAGACTGAGACCAAAGCTGTTTTTCTGAGAAAACACAATTCTACTCCTCACACAGCTTCCCCACCCTCCACCCCCTCCAGGGCTCCCCAGTTTAGTGCGGTCACCAGGCCCTAATGCCACTGCAGGCTGCTCTCTCATCACAGTCCCATTACTCACTGTGACTGCCCTCAGCAATAGCAGAGGGTTTGGGCCCTGGGAGGGCCTGCACCTAAGCTCTGGGCCATGCCTGCAGGGCCCCAGCCTTACTGCCAAGCTAGTCTCCCAGATTATGCTTCCAAGACAAAGCCAAACCAGAGCTTATGCTTCACCCTGAAGTCTCCAGGCCAGGTCCCCAGCACCATCAGCTCCCACTTCCTCTTCCTCTAGATGTGCACACCGCCGTGTCATGTCCTCCTCCTTCACATCTTCAGACCTCAGGTAAACCCCCTCGGCTCTGCCCCCTTCCTGCTCCATGCCACTAGATCAACCGTGAACTTGGCGTATGGTATCGGAGAGTGCTGGTACCGCAGCCTGATGCAGGACCACCCCAGGCCCCTGAGGGACCCCACAGCCGGGAAAGCCCCCATGAGGCTGTGACGTCCTCCCTGCAGCCTCTGATCTGCCCGCCAATCCTCACAGCCACACCCTCAGGGGAACCTCGGAGGCCGGTCACCCCTGTCCTCTCCGCCCCGCACTGGCTGTGTCCTCAGAAGCCACCGCGCTCCTCCCTCCCCTCCGCCTTCCTCACGGTCCTCCCCGCGGACGGAGCTGCAGGAGGGACAGGCCCGCACCGGGCTGTGGGGTGCGGGGTGAGGAGGCGGGGGGCCCGGGGGACGCGCACTCACCTCAGCCGCGCGCCTCGGGGCGGGCGCCGCCATCGGACTGTGTGCGCGGAGCCCGGGGGTGGCGGCGGGGGCAGCGGCCGCCGCGGGAAGGGCGGGGCCTGTCCGGGCCGCGGGGCGGGTCTCCCGGGCGCGGACACTGGGCTTCACCCCCGCGCGTGCGCTGTGTGCGCCGCGACTCCCGCGCCTTCTCTGTCGGGGCATCTCGTCCGGGACCCAGTGGTCCAGAGCCTCCAAACAGGGTGCAGACTGCGTCTGGGTAGAGCCAAAATGTCCCTTGCGTGGATGACGGAAGTCCCGCCCCTTGGAGTTTAGCGTCGCCTGGAAACAGCTTTTCTGACCCTCGATTGGCTAAGCTGTTGGTCTTCCGCGCAGGGTCTTCTGGGTAATGTAGTCCTAGAGTCCAAGAAAGAGATCAGGGTCTTTACCACATCACTCCTGTAGAGAACAGGGAGATCACCACTGCAGGGCTATGAAATGTCATGTCCTCAGGAGAGAGACGTCTTAAAAATGGCTAAAGGAAGTTGTCATCTTTTCCTGGTGAAGGGATTTGAATCTATGTTGATGAAAAAAGATTATCATAGGGCATGTGGTATCTGAGAGTACTTGTACCACAGTCCAGCTGGATGCAGGGCAACCCCAGTCCTCCGAGGATCTCCACAGCCCAAAAATCCGGATTGCGGCTGTGATGGCCAGTGTCCTAGGTCAGTGGTTGGCAAACTGCGCCTCCCGAGCCACATGTGGCTCTTTGGCCCCTTGAGTTTTTAGCAAAGGCCAGCTTAGAAGTTAATAACAATGTACCTACCTATATAGTTTAAATTTAAAAAATTTGGCTCTCAAAAGAAATTTCAATCGTTGTACTGGTTGATATTTGGCTCTGTTGGCTAAGGAGTTTGCCGACCACTGACCTAGGTGGTCGTGGTTCAATTACCTGCCCGGTATTGCCCATTTCCGGCTTGATCCCCAGTAGGGGGCTGCAGGAGACAAAGGATCAATGATTCGCTCTCATCGTGGATGTTTCTCTGTCTCTCCCTTTTCCCTTCCTCTCTCTGAGATCAATTTTATAAAAACCATATTTAAAAGCACACACACATTGTCTGTGATACCAATATACCAGTTTAATTAAAGAGACATCCCTGCATTAAAGACTCTAAAAGACTTTCTAATGTGCTGGGACTTTTATAACCCCTGGACCTGGGGTTCAATTCTTGGACCTGGAAGTGAACCTTAGAAAGCGGTCCTTTCTCACTTAAGAACTGCCTATTACCATGGAAATATTAATGATCTTGCCAAAACCAACTTGGCTCCGTGGATGACTGAATTCGATTCCGGTCAAGGGCATGTACCTTGGTTGTGGGCACATCCCCAGTGGGGGATGTGCAAGCAGCTGATCGATGATTCTCTCTCATCGATGTTTCTAACTCTCTATCCCTTCTCTCTTCCTCTCTGTAAAAAATCAATAAATTAAAAAAAAAAAGAGAGACACAAAAACATCAATGATGATAGAGAACCATCCATTGCTGCCCCCTGCACACCCCACCCTGGAGATCCAGTGATTCCCTCACAGGTGGGTTGCCCGGGAATCGAATCCTGAGCCACCCCTGACAGGCATCCTTATGTGATCTTGGTCCTACCCCATATAAGCAGCTGGCGTATGTGGGTGGCAAAGCAGATTTTCATGGAAGACCTGCTGCCTTCCCGAATTCCCAGCAGTATTAGAATAAATGTTCATGTATGATTCGACCCTGTCTCTGCTTAATCGGGTCAGGTAGTGACAGGTGGACCGGGCCTATTGGTTGTGCAGTTGCATACCCACCCATGGAAAAGAAGCATGTGTCTATCACTTTAATTTCTGTCCAATCCTAGAGGTCACTCCTCCCTCTTTTTTTAAAAAATATATTTTATTGATTTTTTACAGAGAGGAGGGGAGAGGGATAGAGAGTTAGAAACATCAATGAGAGAGAAACATCGATTAGCTGCTTCTTGCACACCCCCTACTGGGGATGTACCCGCAATCCAGGTACATGCCCTTGACTGGAATCGAACCTAGGACCTTTCAATCTGCAGGCCGACGCTCTATCCACCGAGCCAAACCGGTTTTGGCTCCTCCCTCTTCTTTCTGCTGCCTCTCTAGCCTATCACCCATGTATTTCATGTAACCCAGTTATGCCTCCTTTTTTGCTTGTAATGTATAAAATAAACGCAATATTGCCATTTTCCAGAGCATTTTACCATACTATTAGGAATTTTCTATCTGGCAACTGTCATCAGTTGGATCAAATAATTTTAAAAACAATCCTCACGTTTGGAAGTTTGGTACATTGACAAATTGCATTCTGACAAAGTTATTGGTATTTCTGTTTATGTGAAAATGCTATGATAAGTAGGATACTGACAGGGAATTTGTACCTTACAGACATATTTAAGATGAAAGGTTAGATGACATTTTAGACATTCTCAATGTGGTGACATAATGAGTGTAGTTAATGAGCCTTCGCTGGTTCTAGTAAATAGAATTAATCCTCCACATTCTTGTTCAGAGTGGAGGACCTGCTGCCTTTCCGAATTGTTCAAACCCATTCTTGTTCAAACCCTAAAGCAATCTGACCTCTAGCCTTAAACTCCTGTGACACCCCTCCTGGAACCCCAATGGGATCTGTGTGTATATGGGGACCAAAGGAGCCGCCTGGCCTCGCTCCTCTTCCTAGTCTGACTGTTGAAAAAGGTTTACAGTATGCCAACGTGAAAGGGATAGTTAATTTATCAGAGCACAAGTTCCACTCCGTTTTCTGGGCAAGGCCGCAAGTCAGGGTCCCCCATGACACCACCAGACATCACCACAGGGCATCAAAAGTGCAGCATGGCGGACTCAAAGGTCCCAGGTTCGATTCCGGTCAAGGGCATGTACCTGGGTTGCGGGCACATCCCCAGTAGGGGGTGTGCAAGAGGCAGCTGGTTGATGTTTCTCTCTCATCGACGTTTCTAGCTATCTATCTCCCTTTCTCTGTAAAAAATCAATAAAATATATTAAAAAAAAAAAAAAAGTGCAGCATGACTGGCTTCTGAGGATACTCAGACATTTACGCTCCTGGATAAATTTCTCACGAAATCCAAGGACTTTTGTGTCTCTTCCACCCCTCACCCACCCTATCCCCTGCCTTGCAAGGCAGAAAGTATAATTTATGTTAGAGGACACGGTGGATAAGAGCGTTGGTCTGCGGACTGGAAGGTCCCAGGTTCGATTCTAGTCAAGGGCATATACACTAGTTGCAGGCACATCCCCAATGGGGAGTATGCAGGAGGCAGCTAATCGGTGTTTCTTTCTCATAGATGTTTCTAGCTCTCTATTCCTCTCTCTTCCTCTCTGTAAAAAATCAATAAAAAACAAATAAACAAACAAATAAATAAAAGAAGGAATTCGTACCATTTGCAGCAGCATGGATGGATCCGGAGAGCATTATGCTAAGTGAACTAAGTCAGGTAATGAAAAATACCAAATGATCTCACTCATTTATGGAAAATAAAGAACACTATAACCTGATGAACAAAAAGATAGAGATACAGAGGCAGTAAAGCATCGAACATACTATCTAATTATAGAGGGAAGGCTGAGGAGTGTTGGAGAAGAGAGGTAAAGAGATCAACCGAAGGACTTGTATGCATGCATAAAGCACAACCAATGGACACAAGACCCTACAGGAGTGGGATGTAGGCATGCAACAAGGGGTAGGAGAGGCTGGGGGAAGGTCAATGGGGAATAAAAAGAGATAATATGTACTACTATTTGTAATTCTTTATCTTAAAACAATAAAATAAAATAGTTGCCCTGCTATATAGAAAGAAAAAAAAAAAAAAAAAAGATTATATAGCACTCAAAGTGACAAGAGGCTATTAAACACAAACATAAGCTAGTAAAATTTCAGATCCCATAACTAAGTTTTTTGGATACCTGATTAATATAACATATAATATTTATACAACGTTTGCTTTAGAAAAGGAGTAAGCAAAATAAGGTTTATTTTCTAACTTCATTTGTCCTTGGGTGGGGTCAGCAAATGACACTAATTGCATTAATGCTATTAGTTTCCCTAAGTACATTGATATAAGCTACTTATTCTCTGTTTAGGGAGAAAAAATGAAAATCATCTATTCTTAAGTGTCCTTGGTTGAGGGAAGATAGGATTTACTAAATGGCTACAAATTGTTGTTCAACTATTTTAATTTCCCTATTCTACTTATCCTGGCTTACTGACTATACTAATAAAAGGGTAATATGTTAATTAGACTGGAAGACCTTCCAGGAGACCTTTCAGATGTTCTTCTACACAAAGCCATGGTGGCGGGGCAGAGGCGGTTAGAGGACAAGAGGGAAGGGCAGTTCTGGGTGATCAGACCAGTGGTGGGGCCATTGGAGTGATCAGGCCACTGGTGGTGGTGGTAGGGAGAATTGGTGTTGAGGAGGCCAGTGGGGAGGACAGGTGGGGGCGAGCAGGCGGGGGGGGGGGGGGGGGGGGGGGGGGAAGCAGTTTGGGGCAAGCATGCTGGCACAGGGGACAGTTGGGAGTGAGCAGGCTGGCAGGCAGAGTGGTTAGGGACAATCAGGCAGGCAGGCAGGTTAGCGGTTAGGAGCCAGCAGTCCTAGATTGTGAGAGGGATGTCTAACTGCAGGTTTAGGCCCGATCACTGTAAACAGACAGTAGGACATCGTTTGAGAGGTACCAGATTGGAGAGGGGGCAGGCCAGGCTGAGGGACAGGCCCCCTCTCCCCCGCAAGAATTTCATGCACTGGACATTAGTCCTATATAATAAATAGGTAATATGCAAATTGACTATCACTCCAACACAAAGATGGTTGCCCCCATGTGGTCAAAGATGGCCACCACAAGATGGACAGCAGGGAAGGACAATTGTGGGCAACCAGGCAAGCAGGGCAGGGAGGTTGGGAGGGACTACGCCTGCAAGGAAGGGCAGTTGGGGGCAATCAGGCCAGCAGAGGAAGGCAGTTAGGGGTGACAGGGCTGGCAGGAGAGGGCAGTTGGGAGGGACCAAGGCTACAAAGGAGGGCAGTTGCAGGCGATCAGGGCTGCAGAGGAAGGTCACCTGGGGGATTTACCTAATGTAGGTATTTAAATGTATGAGATTCAATTCAGACAGATGAGACTTCACAAATTTTCTTAAACTATTGTTAAGCCATAACTAAAAAAAACACATTTCCTACACATCTAAGTTTCACATGTAAACTCATATGTGCAGAGCATATTTAGAAATTTGGCTGAGAGATATCTGATGTTAATTGGACTCATAATGTCTTTCGTCAGTGTGAATTCGGTGATGATACTGGAGACTATAGTTCCTTGCAAATGATTTCCCACATTCACAGCATTTATAAGGCTTTTCTCCTGTATGAAGTCTCTGATGACGATGAAGAGCAGTGCTCCAGGTAAAAGATCTTCCACATTCAC